TATATATATAACAAAAACAACTTACAGTTAAGGTTACTTAAAGTTAATTTTTATCTTCAAGTTTTATTGTGTAATATTTTGTGAGATACAATCATGAAACTTCAAYGAAAAAACATTCACATCGAGAAGGTATGCATAGAAGAAAAACAGGAAACAAACAGAACAATCTGACAAATAACATGAAACAAAAGGCTGTTTAAACAGGGACCTGTTACGACAGAACGAGTCACAGGTGAGCCCAACGAGCAGAAGAAATGCAGCTGACAGAAAAGGGGTATTTTCTTTAAAAATGCAGTGAATGCTGAGTACTGATTTACTGCTGACATTTTCTGAAATTGAGTTGCTAAAGCAAAAAGAAACAAAACACTAGGTGAAAGCTAAAATTAGAAAAAAAAATGCTGCCTAAAAGTAGCAAAAATGGCACAAAATGCTATTTCTAAAAATAGCAAAAAGCTAGCTTAAAGGGTAGGTAAAAGCTAAAGGTATCAAAAGGCTTGCTAGAACACCAAACCATTTGGCTAGCTATATGCTAAAATTAGCATGAGAAAACACACAGAACATGTAAATATATCTAAGTATAACAAATAAAAACATGACTGAATAACTAGAAGTGCAAACCAATGAACTGAAAAAAACAACACAAAATCCCTGGGTCATTGCAGGTATTTTTAGTCATTAATTTATCATTCTGCTTATTATAATGTTGGCTGAATGTTTAAACAGTAACCCACCAAGACTGAGTGAATTTCTACAACATCAATTAACTTATAAAAGAGAGAAGTAGTGAGAGGTTAAACACAGCATTAGTAAAGTGAGCAACAACGTTTAGCTTTGACCTGTATAATATGATTGATAATAAACAGTGTGAAGCACAGCTTGAAAGCTGCATGTATAAAATAATGAAGGAAAATACGTAGTTTTGGCTGTACTTTAATTTAGAGGAAATTGTTTTCTTAACCATTTAACAATTAATTTAAATATTATCCGTTTTGCTTCCTTTGTATTTATTGCTGCAGACTCATCTACTGGAATCAGAAATGCATTTACAACCATTTTTTTCCCAAAATGTTCAAATTATTTTCTGTCTTCATTACGCTAACTTCAGATTGTCCTTGTATCACAAAGTGTTTTAAATATGACATAGAAACATCTGTTACAGAAAGTTTTTTTTTTCCTTTTTAACACCTAAATTGCAAGCTGTTTGGGTTTTTCTTCAAATTATTGTTTCTCTCGCTTTTTTTGTTTTGTTGGTTTGCTGTCTAAAACAGATATCAGACATTTTTGCCACTGCGCTGAACCAAGGCCTCATCCAGTTTGAGCTGAAAACCAATGTTCGCATTATTGTGTACATGACTCAGCAAACTTTGGGTAAGTCCTTGTGCAACTCATTGAGGTGCAATTTTCTGCTCACAGCTGTCAAATCTTTGAGATACAGTTTTAACCAATGCAGACAAAAGTGAAGTACAGGGTATCACAGGACTTGAACATCCTTCACAGTGTAACAACATTTTGACCTGAGGCTGTGGTTACAGTAGCTCTGTTTGAAATCTGACTATCAATGAGGTGACTGACAAAGAATGCACTTAGTATGCACTGTGAAAATCGGCAGGGTCACCTGCTCATTAGCATATTGCAAAAAAAAAAAGTGTCGATCAGCCTGCGTTGGCTTTACCCTTTTCATCCACCGATGGATCTRTCTTCATTTGTGTCTGCATACAAAGGTCTGGGTTGCCTTTAAAAGATCCAGAAAGGTCATACACTTCATGGGCTTCTTTCTCTCTGAGGGAGAGAAGGATGGGTGGTAAGGGGAAACACTTTGAATATTGCATCCCAGCATGCATAAGCTGCTACCTTGTGACAGAGCCCRGGGAGAAGTAGTGGACATTTTAAAGGTTCTTTTGAACACCCTCGGGGGGATTACATGCAAAGTGCAGTTGCAGTTGGTGCATGGCATGGAGTAAAGAAAGTAGTMTACTTGAATATCTACCGTATTTACTCAAGTATAATTTGTACAATTTAATCCATAAAATCRTGCACAAAGTTGKGGGGGGTAGTACTATACTYGGATAAATATTTTTGCWGATGTATTTTAACTAAAATATCGGCCTCATTCACAAAATGCCTGAGTCCGGAAATGAAACCATGTCATAAAAACTGGTTGAAGCGAGCTTACCTCTGACACTTTCATGCCTCTGAGCGAGATAGTAACAGATCCAAGCTGGCAACATGATGTGAAAAAAAAAAAAAGAAAAAAAGGCAGTCCAACGGTCAGTGTATCTTTTGGTCATTGGATTTTCATTTTCGAAACGAGTGTTAAAAACAAGAAACGAGTGGATATTTGATTTTTGTTTTAAAATACTGGAATTAAAATAAAAATACAAAGCCATTCTCATTCTTAGTGTCAAAAAGGGATAAACAAATTTTTTAAATGATTTGAGTTTCATTTTCTGTTTCAGATAGCAAAAAGGAAAATTACTTTAAAACAGAAACGAAAAAAAGGCTTGTTTGTTATTTTACGTCTATCTATTCCCMMACCAGAAGGGGCGCTCACCTGGCAGCTCTGCATAATGAAACATAAATTTCTGTAAATAAAAGGCAGAAACACAGACATGTATGTTCATAAATGAGTTGTATGATGACTGTCGCTCTGTGACCAAAAGCTTTGCAGAGGAACTTCATGTGGCTTTTGGCCAAATAAGTCTCTTTTACTGAATTCACGCCAGCTACTTCCTCCAATTCACCTCCATTTCTCTAAATAAAAAGCAAAATATGACAACTTTCATTCTATTAGTGTGTTGTACAGTTGTTGTTCTGTGAGCAGAAAGTTTTTTTCCCTCCTGAGTTTTGACAAAATCTGTGCTTTTTTCCCTCAGTTTGCGTCCTCGGAGTTTTCCTTTCAGCGAGGGGTGGGCAGTACTACGACTTTGATATCGATCRATTTGATACCAAATAAATACTTGGCAAATTTATTTGATACTGAAGTCAGYATCAATGCTTTTTACTTGTAATGGGATGTTTATTGAGTAACTTTGATATTGCAGACACCCCTTCTGGTGGTGAAAGAGTTTATTGTAGGGAAACAGCAAGTTGGTACGACCTGTCATGGATTATGAACAAACAAGCCTTTATTCGTTTCTGCCTTAAACTAATTTTCTTTTTTTGTTATCTGAAACAGAAAATGAAACTCAAATCATTAAAAAAATTCCGTTCATCCCTTTTGGACACTAAGAACGAGAAACGCTTTATATTTTAAATTTAATTTCAGTATTTTAAAACAAAAAAATTCCCGTTTCGAAAATGAAAATCCAATGACCAAAAGATACACTGACCTYCAACGAACTATTGAAATTAATGTGCAACTGGGCCGCTSCTGGAACAACAACAAACACATGGTCAGCTGTAATGGCTGCCGTCTACCGGTGTTCTGTAAAAGTTAGTCTACCTGAAAAAAGTTTCCCCACCAGAGGGGGCACTTGCAAGACACAGAGGATGAAATTGTTGTTGAGTGGGATTCTGATGCCTTTATTACAGAGGAGGAATACCAGACATTTAATGATACTGATGATGGTGAGCCTGATTTTTAAGGCTTTTGATTCAGCTTCACCCACATTTGTTAGAGCCACATGGCTCTATCTGTTTGTTATATCACACCAGTTAACAAATGAGCATTGCTAGTTTTGGTTGTAGTTATACATTTGTTGTTGTGTACCATTTCAATTCAATTCAAAAAATGCATTTATTTCATTGAAAAATAACTATATACAAT